GAGGGAATGTTTCCTTCTCAGTCATAACAACATCACCGCAAACTGTTTATCTTTATTAGGAGCAGTGGGTCTTCAGCAATGAACCGCTTGTTCTAATAGACATGGATTAAAATTATCCAAAATGCTTGAAGATTTTAAATAACCTAATTGAGAGGTCTGTAAAAGTAGAAAATTTTCATAAAGAAGCTATTTTCTCAGACTCAGACCTTCTTTAGTTTTCTTGGTTTAAGCAAAGCAAGTGGGACTGAATGGAAGTGCTTTGGTCACCTTTTCAAAGTCTGCAAGTTTGGTATTGCTTTCTCTGTCCTTCATTGATCTAAAAATGCTATAATAGCAAGATTTTTTTGTAACAACAGAAATTTAGGGAGAAAAAGTCAGGTAGATCAAACACTTTTTCCAAATAGCTCAGAAGAATTTCTTTTCAATCTTGACAAGCTTAATAACAATCATCTCCAATGTTGATAACATATTTTGAAAACTGATTTTAATTCAAAATTTTAGCTTTCTATCAATGGAAACTGATGTATCAAAAATGATCAAGATTTTTCCAAGAGGATTAAAATTTGTCAGAACTCTTTGAACTTGAGTTTTTCCAAAACTAAGTCTTAATTCTAAACAAGTTAATTTTGGGGGTGGTTTTCAAAAATAACAACAGCAAAAATAAATACCTTATATCATTGCTTGGCAGGATTTTGACCACCAAATATGAAATGAACCTGTATATTATGAAAACTAAAAATAAAGCTGTCATGTATTTTTATAAATTTACTTCTTTATTATCTCATTTTAAAATTACCTGACTAACTATGATCTTCCCGATTCTAAAATTTCCTGAATCTGTAATTATGATGTGCATCATCTGGTTTTATAGAAGAGAAGGGAAAAATATGTATGAAGTTAGCTGCTAACCATTCCCTCTTGTTCTGTTATCTGCTTCTAAATACTTACATCTTACATAACAACATCTAAAAATAAAGGGAGATGTGTACAAGTATTGAAACAAATAAGCAATAAATTAATGTTCACTCTAAGTATATTTCACATACTGGGGATGAAATTGATATTTATGAGTATTCCAGAGGCCCTCTCATATTATAATATTTAAAAAAAAAAAAAAAAAAAAAGAAAAGATTGGTTTACAAGCTTCATTGAGTTGGAGCCAGACAGCTCAACTCCTATCACTGATTAAGTCTACAAGGCTTTATTTCTGGACTTCCATGCTAGCAGTACAACAGACTGAGAGAGGATAAAGGACATTACCAAAAGCACACATCAGTTATCAATATTTTTTTCCTCAACTTCCATGGATTTAAAACTTTATATGCGTAGAAGGAAAGAAAATCTAAACGAGAGAGAAAATGGCAGTTTGAGGTTGTAGAAGCCTCTAAACATTTTCATGTAGACATCTGCATGTGTTCTAGATGTCTAAACTCCAGATATAGTATTACTACTCTAGGCTCAGTTCATCTGTATCTGCCATGTGGTTGAAGAGTAGCCTGAAGACCAGATTATCTTATCCCCCATTTTTGCTCTGCTCACTTCTATGATACTCATAGCAAGCTTATACCTCAAATTGGCCTTCATCTACTTTTAGACATAAGCTGTGCAGGCACCTATATCTGAGATCACAAATACCTTATTATTACATCCTGAAATAAATGTCGAAAGTTGGTCTGGTGCCTCAGGATGACTTACCAGCCTTCTAAAATATTGATACTTAATGACTTAAAGAATATGTAGCTTAGGGTCTGAGAAGTCCTCTTCTATTCCTTCACAATTCTTCATTTTGCAAATAAAAAACTTTTCATTGTCTGTTCTTGCCACAATGTAATCATACCCTTCAAAAGTTATTTGCTCCTTAAAAGAAAAGGGTGCTTTTTGGATAGGATGAACAGGTGCAGGCTCAGGAAATCACAGTCCAAGCTTTATTTTGACACCAATTTCCTGTCTCACCATGAACAAATCACAAAGGACTCAGATTGGTTTCCTAAATATAGGTGTCCTGTGACATTTGAGAAGTCACAGGATGCTCCAACTGGTCACTTGTTCAGAAGAGGATGGTTCTCCTACATATCCTGTGTATTGTCTCCAACCCTCTATGTATGCCTTGAATATCCTAGGAAGCCTGAAATGTTGTTAAACATCTATCCTTAGAAAACTGATTCAAGCCTCCAAAATCCTTGTTCCTTGGGCCAGCATTTTTAGAGTTGCCTTCTATTTGAATCTTTAGTCTTAGAACATAATTTTTATCTTACCAGGTGGAGACTGGCTTCCTATGGAATCCCAGATGCTGTCTTAAATTCAATAGCCTTGTTTTAAATTCAATAGCCTTACCAAAGATGGAATACTTTAGAAATCACTTATGTAAATAACACTTCCATAGGCCAAAATTTGAGACCAAGCCTGTAAGGCATGCACGTGTATAGTACACCACATACAGCTGATATTTTACAATTGTTGCTACCATTAAATATGAATGATATAGTATATAAATTTCTCTATTAATATAGTTAATTATGACTTGATTTCAAATGGACTTTTTTTTTTTTTTCCAGGTCTACAAGATTAAAGACTTACATGCATTACTAAGGCATTTATGATTCAATATTTTATTTGTTCCAAATTAAAATAACAATTCAGCTCATAACATTGGTCAAAATATATTATTTCCACTTCTATTTTTCAGGCTTTTCAGCTCTTCTAATTATCCAATAACCTTATATAGCCTTATATAGTCATCTTTCCAGTCACAAAGACTTCATAAAAACATAGAACTACATTCATGGAAAGAAAATATTGAGTGCTAAAAAAGTCTTTAATTCCAAGACAAACATCAAACATTCCCCCCTCAAAAAATAATAAGAAAAAAAAAAAAAAAAAAAAAAAAAAGCAGTTATATCACAGTCATGAATTTAAATAGGAAACAAAATACACATTCAGCTTAATTTAATTGGACCTGCTTTGAGGAAGGGGTTGGCCTAGATGTCTTCCAGAGGTCACTTTCCACTCAAATTATTTTGTATTCTGTTATTCTATAAGGCTTACATTTTTTATGTTGTTTTTTTTTTTTATTTTATTTTATTTGTTTTCACTGGGGTCATTATCTGTAATAATAGTTTTCCAAGGCAAAAGTTGAAACATCAGTTTCTTGATGCTTTCATCTAAAGATGGTATCCTTTTCTTGAAAGAAAAATAAAATAAAATAAACAAATAGCTTTTGGAACTCATTTTGGAATAGAGAACATGATATTTTTTTTCCTAACCTGTGTTATGCACGAGGTCAGACTAAAGGATCCAAGGCCCGTCTGGACTAAAATATATGAATCCTTAAAGTTTTCTGGGAAGTCTAATGTTAGTATCATAGATTGTTTGGTTACATTCATGACATCTGTTAGCTGTTTCCTACATGTGATGTCATGACTTGTAGTTATATTTTGAGCTTCAGTTGGGAACACATGTCCACCTACACAGTGTGTTCAGTTTGAAATATAGTCAGGACTAAACCATAAGTAGATGGTGAGTGAGCACACAGCAGAATGTGTTTTTCAAATGTGTTCGGGGAAAGTTTTGGCTCTTAGCTCACGGCTATGTAAATGGAAGTTTCTACCTGTTAGTAGGTGTCTAAGCTCCCATTATAAATCAGTAGATATTGGTCAGCAAAACCAATGAGGGCCAAAAGGCTATTCGGCTGACCAAACGTAGGAATGTAAGTCACTGATCTAACTAAAGGCATCTACTGCCAACTGAGATGACCTAAGATATCCACAACATCTGCATTGAGTTGGCAGGATATGAGACAGGATCTAAAGGAGACTATGTCTTTATAAAGAGGTAGATGGGGTCCAGCCCATCAGATGTGCTTTTAGAATACATTAAGTGGAACAAATGAACTGAATCATACAAAGGAATCAGTGCTCTAGCTCACCTATAAACATCAACATGATAGACATATAAAACTAGATATCTACCAAAAGTCAACCACCTGGGCACAAATGGATCATTTTTGTTTCATTTTAAACAACATACTGACAAAAAATAAATAAAATAGTGCATCTGTCACCCACATCCATCTGAAATGTCATCTATCAGAAAGACAAAGTGCAGCACCAGACACTGATGTGTGTAAACCTAAATCCAGACCTTACTGCTAGCTTTATACTGTCTCCATAGTAGGAATCAAGTTTGGCCAGTGCTGAGCCTTTTGTAAAACCTCACCAAGTGTCCTAAATTTACTGACATGTAAAGCTCTCACAACAGGCACATAGTTCACATAATCTCCTCTCCAGATTAATGAACAATGTTCATGTCATGCAAGAGACCCATGCGCGGTCTTCATCAATAGATTGTAACACTGATGTACTGTACATCCAACCAATGCTATTTCAATAGCTCCAAGTGTTTTCTACTTCTTTCTATATACAGTCTGAGTACAGAGCAAGTGAGAAGTTTTCTGTGTATGAGGAGACATTTTTCTAGAACTCCCAAGTATACATGTTACTGCTACTGCTCTTCTTAGGGTGACTGATGTGCAGACATCTTCAGCAAATGGGTTCATTTCATCTCATACCAAAATAATTAACTAAAATTGGTAAAAGGAATTGCTGTCTGTAAGCTTATTTTTTCCATTGGCTGTAGCCAATGGAAAAACAGTCACCTTTGTGACTAACTCATATTTACATGTCTGGTTTTTGGGTGATTACAATTAGATGAGATGGATCCTATCCACAGTGGTCCTCAGTCAAAAGGAGTGGTTCATGAAGACATTGTATGAATTAAGCTGTAGCTAATAAAATAAGGCAAATTACAAAACCAGTGCATTCAGCTGCTAGCAAAGCTGGCAAAGCCCAGAACGTAGTCTCTGCTGTTTTACTTGTACATCAGACTGTTTCCTAGATTAAGGTTGAGAACAAGAGTGATTCTGATATCATTAGAAATCATCTTAAAAAAAAAAAAAAAAAAAAAAAAAAAAAGACTAGAAAAAAGAAATCCAAACCTCTTTTCTAAAACAACACTGCAAGGACTAAGAAGTGAAGTCTTCAAAATTCAGGTGTTCGGGTGCCAAAATTTCTGGAGAAACCAAGAACTGTAAGAGGGAAAATCCCTCTGGATCTCTTTTTTCTCTGATCTGATGATGTAGACCTGTGAAGTGGAAACAAACAGAAGGAAAAACTGAGACCTCACATAAAATTTCTGCCATTTCTGCCTACTGTTATCCCACAGATATCCTACAAAATCAACATTTACCAAAATGAACATGATGTTTGGAGGGAGCACTTCAGAGCTAGTACATAGGTGAATACCTTATGGGATCAAAGTCTGGAAGATCTTGAAGATAGAAATGTGAATATACTGAAAAGCAGCCTCTTCCATTCTCAGTTGGTCTTCACTGTAGTTCCTTAATGGCCCTGCAATACAACTGAATCTCTCAGAACTCCATTGGATAAATGAACATTAATTATCCTCTATGTCCTTTCCAGCCACTGCAGATCTCAAGATCTCAAATAAATTGGTTTTGTTTCTAGGTTTTTCTAAAATTCTCCGGAGAAGGACAAGGCTTTTGACTAAAAGAGTTTTTGCTTCTGTCTAAATTGCCCTGACAAGACTCTTTTGTCCCTTCTTTATATTTTTTTTTCTGCATTAATCTGAGCAATGCTTTAGTGAAAGCTGTAGTTACACAGCTATCAAATCCTGTCGCCTTGCTGACAATAGTCAACATGAGAAATGACATACAGACATAGATGGATCCACCTGTTGTGTTTTTGTTTGTTTTATTTTTTTGTTTGTTTGTTTGTTTTTGGTAAAGCTACTTTTCCCAGTGGAGTCGTCTGGTTTATCAGTTGGGACATTCTTAGGTTTAGGAAAACTGTGTACATTTGTTTCAGGACCTTTGGCGTCAAAGGCACAAGAACACATCTGCAGAGGAGTCAGTAAATCAGGTTCTAAAATACCTGTCCAAATATTTCCATTGAGGCATGGAAAACAATATCTCCATGTGAGGTTTGTGTTCAGTATTTCTAAATTGTGTCTATATAATGAGACACATCTGGAAGACAAGATGCAGTGGGTGTACCAAATGATTCATTCACTCTCAACATGAATTTCTGATTGCATCTGTGACCTGTTCTTGGGTTTACTCCTTGTCTGTGGTCCCACCAAACCAAATTTGTTTGGAAGAGACATTCGGAACATCAGATCCCTTATTCTCTGAAAGAACTCCAGGATGCATGTGGATAAAAAAGGCCTTTATATCTATGTCATTGCTAACCTTTATCTTTTTACCTCACTCAGTAATTTCAGAACTGTTGATTTATCCCAACAAGCCCCCAGCATGTCAGAATTGTTTTACAGCAAAAGAGAATCATCCCATAAAGTGGAGATGTTTCTGTCGTTTCTCCATCATACATGGAAATATCACCCATGTTCAAATTCTGAAGCCTTCTACAGGAATACAAAAATAGTTATAAAACACATACATCTTTTCCCACATAAAAAAACCTCTTCTACATTTTTTTTTCTTTAACATGCTTTCAGACTGGGGTTTCTGAAGAACTCAACTTGTGCTTCTGTTATTACTTATCATGATTTCAGAATTCCGGAGAAACAAACAGCAACACATCTTAAAGCCAAAATCCAGTTAAGAATCCAGAACAACAACAACAAAATGTGTTAAGAAAAAAAAAAAAAAAAACCTATAAATTTTAGCCTATCAAACACATCCTTGAGGGCTGAGAAGAATAAAAGTTTAGTAGAACTGGCAGCTGGTAACTACTAATCCTTCAAATCAAGAAGTAAATGTCCACTGCTCTTAACCTGAAACTCTTTAAACCATTGAAAAGATGGATGTTTGTCATCTTTAAAGCAGGACTGCAGCACTCAAGGTCCTAAATTTAACCCTGGCTTATTGCCCATGTGTTTCTTTTTGAAAGAAGTGAATACCTTGTTCCATGGTCCACTGAAAACAATGTATTTCTACTGAGTAAATTTGGATCTTGCTGTAGAACAGTTGTTTATTTAGCGTAGTTGTAACATTGACAGTTAAACTTTTATTTTAATATATCTTTTTAAAATTTAACATCTTGGACTTCAATATTCTCTGATTCTTCTTTGTGTCATCATATTGAGTTTTTATAGCAGTAATAAACCCATGTCTCCACTGATGTACTATTGAGCTCAAGTAGTTCCTTCTCTTGCATTTTCCCCAGTTCTTTTGTATATTTTCTGTTCCATACTGTCCTGCTCAAACTGATTATTTTATTTTGTTTTATTTTATTTTATTTTATTTTATTTTATTTTATTTTATTTTATTTTATTTATTTTATTATTTTATTTTATTTATTTTATTTTATTTTATTTTATTTTATTTTATTTTATTTTATTTTATTTATTTTATTTTATTTTATTTTATTTTATTTTATTTTATTTTATTTTTGTTCTTCCTTCTGTTGTGTTTGCTTTCTGGCTCTTTATTCCCCATTTCTCTCTTTGGCAGTGACTTGGTGTAAGACAGGTAAGTATTCATTCTCTCTCTTTCATCTTCTGATCATTTTATTGCAACTTGTCTGTACTCAGGAATCATGAAATAGACATATTTACAATGAGGCTTTTTTAGACTGCTAGCCTGGTGTGAAGAGACATATTTACCCTTTGGTAAATGTGAATAATGCCTCCAAGATTAAGTTCTCCAGGGTGGTACCATGGCAAAGCCAGGAATCCTGTGAAGTAGACATAGAAAAACTTAGAAAAGTTTCCAGATTTATTCTGAAAATAGTGTTCAGAGAATGAACTATTATCTAATCAAAAGAATTCCCCCATCCCTGTTTTACTAGCACTAGGACATCTATTTTGACCACTACCATGTTGTTGTAGTTTGTGTTGATCCACAGTAAGATGGGTTTGATTGTTGATGCTTGGCTGATGCCTACTGAACCAGCTATCTGATGCTAGACTTCTTGATTAATCCTCTTCAATCATCCTCATTTTGGAGAGTATGTAAATCCTCAGCACAGACTCATATATATGCCCTATATTTATGCTCTATTTATAGTTATTTGCATCAGATTTCATTCTGCCAAGAGCTGTCCTTTTTTCATAAAGATATCTGATTTAAAAAGTATGGATAAAAAAACACAGAAATGAAGGCAGACTTGGGGGGGGGAGGGGGGAGGAAAAAAAAATCAGGAGAGTATCTGAGCATATGTCAGAAAAGCCAAGAGGGAGATTTAGGGAGAAGTGGAAAAGACCAGAGAGCATTCTAGCAAAAACATATTCTGTCATTGAGTCCTACCTTTAGATAGATAGAAACAGCATTTTGCCAATCATTGAGAATATGTAAGATTGCTGTAGGGAAAATACCTGTCTCCATCAAACTTTTTTTGCTTCTCACTGGCTAAATCTATAAGGCTTTATTTTTTTTTCTCATCATTTGGCTCCTGTGGGGCAACCCCTGGGAACAGTGTGAGTTGCCACTACGCACAGGTCAGTTTTTCGCAGTCACTGTTCCTGGAATTGTTTTCCAGTGACTGCCTGTCTGTGTCATTCAACACTGATGTTATCATGCTGTAATTACCAGCAGCTGAGGGTAGAAGGGAGCAATGTAATTTTAACAGAGGTTTCCAACTACTTAAAAGGAAAAAAAAAAAAATAGGATCAGAACTTTTCTCACGGGCCATGAGAACAAAATGAAATTTGTCAGCGATGCAACTTGTCTTATTACCCACTAATAATTAATCAATTCATAATGACACCATACCACATACAGAGTAAGAGCTTGACTCAGAAGAGCCTCTCCTTCCTGTGAACAAAGAACAGGAAAAAAGGTTATTAACAGTCAAGAAAGAGGAATGTTGCTTAAGGTTGAACATGACAATTCCAGCAAGATGGAGGATTGAATTTACACTCTGAGGCTGACTCCTCAGATTCTTTTGGATTGCTTAAATCCCTCACTCAGACTGTAGTTTTCAGAGAGTTTGTTTGTTTGGTTGGTTTTAATTTTAGATCTTTAAATATTTTTCAATACAGATGAAGACTGCAGACTTGTGTTGTCTTGACAGACCTCTTCCAGGTAGTCGGTGCACCATCAGGAATCTCAAATTCAATGTGGAATAGCCCTGAACTAGGATTTCCTCTCTGCATCTACTGATCCCTAGGCTGTACAGGGAATCCTCAGGGTAGTATTCCATTCCAGTGTTGCCTTTAAAAATAGCCATTGTAGGAAGCACGAAAGTATTAGTGGAGGTAAGCCTGAGCTGTGGAAGCACTGACAGCACTCAGAGGCCAGGCAGAGATGACCAAGGCGAGCACAGCAGGAAGTCTTAGCTAAGCAAGCACCAATTCACACCTGTTGCCTGCAGTCTATTCACAGGAGCTAATAATAAAAAGTTTGCATTTATACAGAGCTCTTCATCCCCCCTGATCCCAAAGCACTCAGCAAATTACACACACAAAGGTCATATCAACTATTGTTGAAATCCAGCCTGTCCTGGCCATAACAATAGGAAGGAGGAAAACTATGTCCAAGGACAACAGGGTAAATTCCCAATTACATGAAATATGTCTGGTGCTTGTCAGTGTCTAACCAGAGCGAACAAGATGTAGGACTGCAGAATAGTTCAAAATACTGCAGTGTAAAAGAGTATTATAATATTCCTTTAGTTTACAGATAAGAAAGAAAAGGAAAACAAGAAGAAGAAAACAAACAAACAAACAAACAAAAAGTGAAACAGAACTAATGGCACTGCTTGAATTCAGTGCTATGGTTCCAGAGAGTCTACACATTTTAAATCTGCTTCTAGGCCTGTTAAGCCATCCCTCTAACATGCCCTTTCTGTGGATTAGATGTGCTGTTTATTCATTGTTTCAAGGCAACGAAATGACTCATACTGAGTCTGTTCCCAGGAAATCTTGCCAGGTGAGGGAGGGTGACATTTACTAGGGGACCTATTAAGTGGAATCTACTGCACTAATACAATGAAAACAGAAAACTCAAGTTCTGCAGTGTGGTCCAAGACTTATCATTCCATCTGAGGGTAGCATTGCATATCTATGAGCAAGGCACAATGAAACTGTTCCACTGTACAACTCTGAACAATCCTTTTTCACAGGTTTTGTACCTTAAATCAAGACAATAAAAGGCCAAAGGAGTTCTGAAATGGCCTATTCAATGGCTCTGGGAGGGGTAGGGTGAAAACAATCTACTACATTATAGGAAGGTACAAAACCAAGCACTCGCACCTTATAAAGTCACCTCCACACCTTTGCTAATTTGCAGTGACTCTATCAGAAGCCAGTATGCACCCATATAGTTCCAGCTGCATTTAGCCAACTACGTGATGCATACATCCTTTGGTTTGCACTTTTCAGATGGCTTTCCTACCTCCTCTGGCTTGAGATATGTCCACAAAGTGACATCAGGTGGTGGCAGCTGGAGATCTGGCTCATACTCTCACTCATACGGTGGAGAAGTGCTCTTAGGTCTGCTGGGTCTTTTCCCTTGTCTCAGTCCATAACAGTTTATTCCCTAAGATTAACATCAAAAATAGAGAGGAAAACAGTTCACTTACTAAGGTATATGCCTGAATGGCCATTAAAATTAAAGAAGATCCAGTGAATAGTCTTTTGTTGGTGACTCATTTACCAACCATAGGTTTTCAGTGCTGTGCATCCACCCATGAGTTTTAAAATATCTTATATGGTTTCTCTTGTGTGTTATTGATAGTCAATTACTGCATCTTCATTGATTGTTGTGGGAGGTGGTACATCAGTAATACATTTGCACTCTTACATTACTCTTACTCATTACACTCTTACTCTAGACATCTAAATTTATGTACATTATTCTCATGCTGAATGCCATCCCCAGTGCCATTTGACTTGAAGTTTCTGTATATTCTTCCATCTTTCTTTTAATGTGTTCATATATACTGATGAGATCTTTCCAGCAAATTGTCAAACTTCATTATTAATTTTAGAGTATCACAAATCAACATGACATGATGCAAATACATTTTTCAGATTCAATATATTATTAGGAATATTTGCAAGCCTACCCAGTAAGGACCCAGAACTACAAGGTATCATAACTCTGATGATACCTCTGATGATAACTTTGACAAGTTCCATTTAAAAGTATCCATGGAAGCTAATGCTGAAGATCAAATGGAGAATTATGATAACTAATAAATCAGTGCACCAAAAGACCCAGTCTTTCCAGTGCATAAAGGCTTTATCATGTTTGCAGATTTGGATTTTCCCAGATCCCAAGAAAATGCATAATTGGAAGTGAAGGGATTTTGTATTACAGCTACAAATGAATGTTGGTGTACATAATTATACATAACATGGCAGAGGGAGAGAGATGGAAATCAAAACAAAGAGGGAGCTCCTGGGTCTTTGCAGAAGGTTTAAACCAACAGCAATTGTCATTGTTGAAAATAAATAAATAAATAAATAATCCTCATTCTGCCATCTGGTAGTGCATACCAATATATACAAAGCATACCAATGCTTAAAGCCAACTTCCATCTCCAACTCCACTTTGCTTTGCAGCCAAAACCACAGGGGAAAAAAAATAAAATCTTGCTCCCAAAGCTAAAGGTTTCTTTTTCTGGTTCATCAGCTCCTTGGGAATTCTGTGTATCCTACGTACTTCAATACACATGTCCGCACTCCATCCCTTCCCGTTACCTGGTTTCCGAGTTTTGAATGCACCTTACAAGAGATAAATGAGGAAAAATAAGTGAGTCCACCACAGGCAGAACTGTGCAGGGAATAAGAAGCTTTCTGAAATGAAACTGAGACAGCTTCCATGGTCAGCAAAACCTCTACTGTCTAATGTGACTGTTCTGAATCAATCACAGCCCAGAAAAACAGGCAATCAAACAAACAGAAAAGCAGCTCATTAGCATAAGGCAAGTTTAGACATTAATCCTGTCCCATGCATGCACTACACAGAAATTAAGCCTTTGTCTTCTCCTGCTCTCCAGAGAAGACATTGGTAAATGCATCTGCTTCATTTATAAAAAAGTAATGTCCATTTTAAGTAGATATTCCCAAAGTGTTGGACATATACCCCAAAGCTTCATGAAGGACTGTCCCTGGGACTGCGGAGTATGTGTGGCTGTTCTGGGAGGCCAGTGGGTCTTTTCAGTCACCCAGCTGTAGAAAAGGGGATGTGTGAGATCAGTTTCTTTCCATGGGAAGGCAGGGAGAGCTCACCTCCTGGAAGGTGGAGAACTCATAGGTATGATTCACCTGAGCAAAAGCAGAGGTTTGCACTGGACTTGGTAGCCCAAGGCTCTCTCTACAAAGAAGAGAAATAGGCATTTAGGGTTGGATTCAATTTGTGCAAGCACAGCGGTTTACTGTGCTTTGGGTACCTCCCTGCCTTGGCCTTAGGTGTCTGCTCCAGAAAGGACAAGGTCTCCTGCATGTTTTGTGTCATGTATGCCAGCAGTGCTGAGATGTCTTAAAAGCCCAGACTGTCTCAAATGGTACTAGGTGCCAATGTTTATGCAGGTGAATCAAAGGTTTAGAGAGCAGTTCGTCTTCCTCTCTTAAAGGTACCAAGAGGCTAATTCAGCTGTCTAAGCATAAGTGTCTAATGGAATCCTAGATGTCTGAAATAATTTTGCTTTGCCTCCAGCTGCAGATCCAGCAAGATACAAGTCTCTTGTAGTCATTATGTCACATCTGGCAGACCTGTGCAGATGTATCAGATGCCCTCAAGCATCTCATTTGGCTCAAGGTGCCTGTATGTGTGCAACTAAACTGAGCTCTTAAAATGCCTCTCTGTGATGTATATGCTTACATTAGGTCAAAGTCTGGGCAAACATATTCAGATTTGGGCATCTACAATGTACACATACAAAATTAAAAGACATTCTTTTTGCCAAAGCAGGAAGGAGTTTTCTCATGCAACTTTAGGGGCATTGCTCAGCTCACAGACTAAGACTCCTAAATTTAGTTTAGCTCAGGAATCTCCTTTTCCACTGAATGTCTGAGATCCCACTATAGTCAGAGGAACTCTATTCACCTAAACAGAGGTGTCTGGGCCAGAGCAGACAGCCCCATGACACCATCTAAATGTCATACAGGATCTATGTGAGACGTTTTATATTTGTGGAGTGATAACAAGAGTCTTGGGCTCCCTACGGTGCCTAAAGATATTTTATGGTAACTGGCATGGACTCCTAACCCTGCCCAATGTCTCTCAAAAGGTGATGAGAACAGCAGTACCTGTAATGCCTCAGCTGGAGAAAGAGAAAGTCTGGAAGCTTCTGCTTTCAGAAAGTTATAGATAGATGAGAAAACAGATGTCTTTCAGATACTGATGTTGGTACGGCCCTGAGAAATGGTTTATTCTTGCCCTTCACTTGAAAGGGAGACTGGTCTGAAAGAGTTCAGATGGACAGTCCTGCATAGCAAATATAACATGGATCCCACCTGGCCATCTGGGCTTGACCATGAATTGGGGGGGCTTGGAAAAGCTTCTAGCTATGAGGCTGTGGAAGTGGATGTCTTGAAAGCCATCTTGCTGGTGTCATGTAAACCTAGTCATTTCCTCAAAGCCAAGAATGGACTTATCATTTGGGTAGGAAACTAAAGGAATTGCTCCTCCACACCTGAAATGTAAGCTGAAATAGATCCATTATGCAGCAGCATATAAATAACATTATAGGCAATGTGCCTATAATTTCCCCCTACTTCTTACTGTTTTTGAAAACAAGACAGAGATACATTCCACTTGTCATTTAAAGGGGAAATTTGTAGGATTTTATTTTTATTTTCAAACTGGGAAAAGTTTCAAGCTAGAGAGTAAATATTTAGGCTTTCATAACACCTTAGGCCTCTAAATAATGTACCTTATTTCATCTTCTTCCTTTGGCTTCATCATACACCCCTACTCATAAGAAGAAACTTTTTTTCATAGACCCTGTACAAATAGTGAGATTTTTCTCTTCTCTCCCTTCCAAGTTCCCAGTACAAGCCATTAAGGGTCCTTTGTCTGATATGAATATAAACATGAGAGCTTAAATGTTGTTCCTACCATCAGATCACTTAACGGTCAAGAGGGAAATGCCCAATAAACCTTCTACATACACAGTCGTGCAGGGATTTGGTTTTTTGCTTCAACAGAACATTTTTTTCTGTAATATAGCTTTCTTATAGGTTCAGGCAGAAGATGAAAATCTCTAGAGTTGCCAGGACTGCATCCTACATGTTACTTGTTTTCTTTGGAGGCTTCCCAGCTTCAGCTAACCAAAAGTCTGACCTTAAGAGAACTGATGAAACTCCAGCCAACCATGGGAACTTACACCAGCAGCCCTCTATCAAAATGAACTGCTTTTTTAGGGAGTATACTAATGAACAAATGTCTTTAGAAGGCTACTAAGGCCACTTGCACGTTTGTTTTTAGCAAAAAAAAAAAATAAAAAAAAAATCCCTATTCTGTGGAGATGCCACAGCAGTTCTTCTGCTCTGTGCAATGGGTAAGGACTGGTGCCAGCAACACAAGCTGAGTAGCTGGCATCTGGCTACTGCCAAGAAAGTGATGTGTACCCACACAGACATGAAAGGTTTGAGTTAGTAGTTCTCTGCCATGCACCAAATTAGAAAATTTACTGACATAATATAGGAGGAAGTCTCTGTATTGCTAATGTCCCTTTCACTAAGGCAATGAGAGGAATGGGCAATGAATTTCTTGCCTTTTAGTTTGTTTGTTTTTCAGCTTTTGATGTAAAGGTTTGGGTTGGGGAAAGAAGTCTAACAGCAGTGACAAAGAAAGTATGATAGGAGTAAAATGTTTTCAATCTCTTTTCTTCCCAGCATAAATAGAAGACTTTAAATGTGTACCTGTATTTAAATTCTTAAACTAGACACAGGTAGTCTTATTAGCACAAAAAGTCCCATGCACAACCAGGAGTGGTATGTTTGCATTAGGACTGGGAGCAAGGGAAGAAGGAAAAGGGGGGAGATCAAATGAGCATGGCCCTTGGAAAGTCTAAAGCATCACCTGCCCACACTACAGCATTCCTTCCTGAAATGCTGGCCAAGAAGCCCAGGGGGTTAAGATAATTGAAAAGCAAAAGTGGGATGGTCTTTAGATGAGTTTTTAATCTTTCCACAAAAGCTAATAAAATCTGAATGGCCCTCCTGAGGCCACATTTTATTGCCACAAATTCCCATTACATCCCTGGGAGAAGTAGCTCTCACATTAAAGTTCCTTGAGAGTCCCTGTACAAACATACTCCAGCCACCTCCCCGCAGCTGCCAGAAACACCCATGGCAATTCCCCACCTTTTCGTCTCCATGCCAAAGCACAGTAGCCACACTCGGCAAGGGAGCCATGCAGCTCCGCCAAAATACAAGAGTGGTATTTGCGGACTTCTTCCTGCGGCATTTATGGTGAATAAAGATATATGACATGTTATTTCTTAGGTAAACTTCTGTTCTGTGAGGCCTGCACTGTTCCTCTAATGCAAATCTTCACCAAAATGATTTGCTTTTCCTATGACTGCAATTAGATATATCAGCACTCTCTCCACTTCTCCTTCCATTGGTATGAAGAAATTGCTGATTTCTGAACCCTTGTGGCTAAATATTATGTTTCTTCCCTTATTTCTTCCATTTCTCAGTGACTGGACATCTAGCTGGAGCCAGGATCTCAGGTATATGAAATGGAACAAGAAACATAGGAAATACTGGCCGTCAATCCTTTTTACCTCAGGTTAGATATTCCCAACCTGCGTATGGCTACAGAGGTTTGAACTAAATGTGCAAACTCATATCCCAAACACACATTAAAAAGTGGTCTAAGAAGGGGATGGGTAGCTCAATGGGTAGCTCAGCCCACTCATTTCTAACTATAAAGTTCATAGGTGGCATATGAGGGGGTATCAGACCCCTTTTTTTTTCTGCCCTGAGTCTCCTGTCTGTACAGATAACACGAATCACGGCTATTAGTATTACCATCAAAACGTGCCATTTTCACTGCTCGCCTGTGAGTCCAAGGAAGATCTTTGTATATTGTTGTGGGCCACAGACATTATTCAAGATATTCACCCTCACCACTTCCTACAAGTGGGAATATCAGTATTGGAGCAGAAGTGCCATTCACCAGCAGAAGTTTTTGATACCTGGAAACACAGAGATTTTTAAGTTAGCATAGCATACACGATATTATTACTTTTATTTTTAATAGCTTCATTCATTTGTAATATTGAGAATAATATCACCCTATCTGTGTGTTTGAAGTGAAATTCCTGATGTGAAATTTCTGAGAGAATTCAGAACTAGACATTGGCTGTCTCCAGAGTTATGTATTTAATTTAACAAATAAGTCATTCAAGTGTTGTCCTATTCTAAAAAGATAAATGAAATCCTATGTGCTATTTTTTAATATTGTTAATTGTTAACTAATAATTCCTTTTATAGTTATCTGTTTAAAAAAAAAAAAAAGGAGAGAAAAAAAAAAAGAATCAGAGCATCAGATATGCATAAATTCAATTAAAGTATTCGATTAAAGATTTGGCAGGACATAGTTTTTTTCTACACCTTTGCAAATGCACCATCTTGGTATCCTCCCAAAAGAAGTATCTGCATAGCCTTCCTTTTCATGACCTCCCAAGGCATGGAAATGGTGTAAATGAATTGCACTTCCTAGGCACTCTGCTGCTGACATACCAGGAACAGAAATTCAGGCTACCTTTATTTAGCACAACATTTGAAAACAATGTAATATTTCACCAATGTGGGTAGGATATTGAAAGGTTAAAAAAGCAAACAAACAAAAGAAAAATAACCATAATCAATCTCCGTAGTTTACTGTTCGTCAATGATTGCACCATTAATGCTGATGTAGAATGCTGATCTCCCTTCATCACCTTCTCTTTATATACTGCCTATAGTAGAAAGTGTTTCTGATAAGCTTTGACCTGAAAGATCTGTGAAAAACACTGTTTTAAGCTTTAAGATAAGTGTCCCTTGGGCATTATTTATCAAACCCAAGACATGTTTATATAGGTAAGATTGACTGCACCCTCAAGTTGCACATCTTTCTTGATTACAAGGGAACTAAACACCTGCTTACTGTACACATCGTAGAGGAACTGAGGGAAATCTAGAAAACTGTTTTGTAGCTACAATACAGACCTTTACATCTGTCTGAAAACTATGCCTTTCTGGAACTGTACCTGAAGACATTACAGGAAACTGTCGACGTTTAGGAAGGTACTATCAGTTATTGTTCTACCAAGTGAAAACCATGATTTCCCTGAAACTTTAACATAAAGACTGGGCTCAGATGGGTGGACACAGATCTTTAGTAGTAGTTGAAAAGTTTGAGTTTGTCTACGACATCCATATGGCTAACAGGACAAAGGACTTTTGGGAGAACAGTTCCCATTGGAGAAATAGTTGACGGCCAGATGAAATCCCCCAGGGTATCTGCATGCAAATCCCAAAGTTCAGCTGTCTTTAACTATGAGCTGAACTTCTGGTTTTAGATGAAGTTAATCCTACCCCATATGAAGCATAAAAAAAATTAAATCCTTTTAACTATTCTTGATTAAGTGAGACTCAGAATCTATTCTTAGCTTGGCCTTTGTGCAAATTAGTGCGTTCTTATTCAGGTTTTAAAAAATTGAGTTGACCATGCTGCTAATCTATATGCCCTATAATGAGTAGAGCAAATTTGATCCGAAGAACCTTCCAATTTTCAAAGGTCATCCTTAATCTAGACTTGATAAATACATATTTTAGAGTAGGCACATTCCTAATATTATAAGGGGAGGAATGACAAAATAGGATAAGTAAGCTGAATGGCCCAACACAGCTTGTGAAAACTAGTGGAGAGAGGCCAAACACATTTGCATGGGAATGTCAGGCAAAGATCCAAGGATAGAAGGGCAATGACAAGACAATCATTTGGACAAGTGAAGATATGATATATGGCACATGAACAACATACCCCTGGAGTATAAGATCAGTTTTCCAGCAGCCTAGCATAGGCATGTGCAAAAGACCTCAAAAGTTGCTTATTTTTAGCAAAACAGAGCAGAAAGAGGGGTCATACATATGCAAGTTAAGTTATATGGGGGACTTATATGATTGAAAAAGGATTGTTCAGAGTTCTTGCATCAGAATATTTGACAAAAGGGACAGGGAATGGTGAAATCTAGTGTTTCTTACACAGGAATAAATGGTTAAAAGTATCTAACATGCATATGAATTGTACCTCTCCAAATCATTTCAGTAGGGTCTTACTTTTTATGCACTTCTGATAAAGTCACTGTAAAACAACTGATAATATTCAAGCTTATTTCAAGATCATTTATCTTTATTCCTCATGACAAAGAATAGAATTCCACACACAGACTCTTTGAAATAAATTTTCAGTATCCATTTTACAAGAGAAGCATGATGATTTTTTAATATTTTTATTATGTTAATGTATACTTAAACAGTGTTGAAGACAGGATGATGTTAAGTCTTTAAAAATTATGAAGATTGTTATTACTATTGTGCTATGTTAAATGGAGAAAATGGTAACATAAGTAGCCTGTGGACAAGGGGTGTAATACCAGTTCCAGAGAAAGAAAGGTATAATTATTAAAACTGAATTTACAAGAAACTGAGGGTAAGAACATGCCTGGTATTGGTGAATATGATTTTCAGGACCAAATCTCTGATCAGAAAAAAACAGTTTCATTTGCTGAGGAAACTTCAGATTTGATGAGAGACCTTTATTTTAGTGCTTCATAGTCTACTTGTTATGTGAGAACTAGTTTCTCAGTAGGAGGAAAAGTGCGAGTGTTTTCCCTCTGGGATTGATACCTTTTCTTTCCAGTGACCAGATTTTTTATTTTTTTTTTTAAGTCGAGGGAAAAATAAACAGAAGGGAAACATGATACCACTTTTCTAATCTGGAGACAGTAGCATATAAAGAAAACAAACCAACCTCCCTGTCCATTAGGGACAGGATAAGAGACCTCGAACTTCAGTAAGGGAGAGTCAGTTTAGAAACTTGGGGAGGGGGAATATTTTTGCTGTGGAATTTTTTAATCATAAAAATAATGAAACAGTGGAACAGAATATGAGGAGTAGGTCTGTGGGCACTTATGGTTTCCCACTGCTGACTTAGCTGTCCCCTTCTCAGGGGACAAAGTAAATGGCTTATTTAGTATCCTATTGATATCCTATTTTCTAAGATACCTTTTTTGATATATAATGTACATAACATGCTGTAGGACACATTTCAAAAAGCAGCTGTCAAATTGGAGCCATCATGAAATAAAGATCTTTGCAACTGAAGTTGCTGAGAGACTTTCACAAGCTCATAAGCTTGGAGAGCTTTCAGAAGGGATTTGAAAATAAACTGAAAGGAAACATACCACTTAATTTAGGATGATGACATAGTTAATGGCCGGATGTATAGCAATAGGCAGGAAGGGGCAGTTACTCAGTCTTCAGTCCTTAGAGTAGATATGTCCTGCCTAGCACTAAGGGACCTGTTTACAGAGCAGTCAGAAGCAGGCAGAGCTCACTTCTAACCATCACATACCCGCTCTTTGGGGTGCCTGCAGTATGTCTGTTCTGCATGGGATTTGGGCTATGCATGACACCACACTTGCAGGGTGAATAAAAAGGATGTGAGACTGCAAGGTAGGACCACATACTAGTTTTCCTAGTATCCCCATTATAATATCCCCATTATTATCATAATATGATAATAATAAATCATTATCAGCTGGATTTGAACTGTGTTGAAAACAATTGGGGTGAAGATAATAAAGTAACACATTTTGGGGGGAAGCAATGTAAATCCATGCCCTCTATTCTTCAATGGTACTATAGAATTTGGTAACTTCATAAGAGGAAAACATTGTCAGAGGCATTTTCTGCCAGTAGCTATGTAGAATCAGTGCATCTGGCAGCCCTGAGGTTTGGCACTGCAAATTGCAGTTTACTCTTTCAGGTCATCTTTACAGGATTTGATTTTATATATGGGAAGATGTCACATCTCAGACAAAACAACTTTCTTCCTGCTTTCTTGATGTGGCCACATGACAGCATTACCTCAGATCTGCTTATAAATCTCAAGTCAGAGGGTAAAAATAAATGCCTTGAATGACATCAGGTCCTCTAAAGGGATTCCCAGAATAACAAAAGAAGGAAAAAAGAAAAAAAAAAAAGAAAAAGCGTTAAAAAAAAGGAAGGGCAGCCTTTAAGAGGATGCTGGTGCATAATATGATGCAGATGGAAATTATTGAGCCAGACTTCATGCAAGCTAGAAGAAGGCAGCACAGAAAGTGGGAGCAGGAGCAGACACACTCTGATAAGCATGGAAAGTGGTTTGAGGACAGCATAAGGTGTGACTGAGAAGGGACAGCATGGTGTGAATGTGGCTCATATTTCCTGCAGTTCTCCCTGCACCATTCAGACTTTTCCTTGCACACGGGATCCTTCCGTGGTTCTCATGGCAGAGCTGAGCCAGGCTGATGCTGGTTAACCCTGCACCAAACAGGAGTCCTCTCATGCAGCCTGTGCAGGGAGAGAGCCCAGACACCACCAGTGCAAACAGATGACCACTAAAGTATAAGCCAGTCACTCTGTGTTCCCTCTGCACACCAGTGGACGGCAACAGGAAACTTCCCAAGCGTGCCTTGTCTTCTTCTGAGAAGTGTTAAAATAAGTCAGGTGTTCTGCTGTAAGTCAACTCCTTTCTAGCTATTGATGGAGATGACACTGATCAGAGCCTTGGCTTCAGTAGTCCTGATTAAATGAAATTTATTTCAGCTTATTTGTTTGAGATAGGAAGGTGGTTTTCTACATCTGTTTGTGAAAAACAAACAAACAAACAGACAGACAGACAGACAAACAACAACAAAAAGAACTATTCTGTACTTACCCATGTCAGCTATTTGCTCTGGTCATGTTTTGAGATGCCTCATCATAGACTACTTGCATATTGGCAAGAGTGTGGTTGTTACTAGTATAGGCACAGCTAAAACCACAGAATCACAGAATCATTTAGGTCAGAAAACATCTGTAAGGTCATCAAGGCCAACTGTTAGCTTAGCACTGCCAAATCCACCATTAAGCCATGTCTCATTTATACATCTCTTAAGTACCTCCAGGGATGGTGACTCAACCCCTTCCCCGGGCAGCTTGTTCCAATGCCTCACAACCCTTTTAGTGAAGAATTTTTTCTGCATATCCAACCTAAACCTCCCTTGTCACAGCTTGATGCCATTTCCTCTTGTCCTATCACTTGTTGCTTGGCAGAAGAGACCAATCCCCATCCCCCTACAACCTCCTTTGAGGTAGTAGTAAAGCATGATATGGTCTCCCCTAAGCCTTTTCTCCAGGCTAAACCCCAGATCTCTCAATTGCTCCTCATAAGACTTGTTCTCTAGCCCCTTCACCAGCTTCATTGCCCTGCTTTGGACATACTACAGGACCTCGATGTCCTTGCTGTAGTGAGGGGCCCAAAAGTGAATACAGTATTCAAGATGCAGCCTCCCTAGAGCCAAGTACAGAGGGACAATCACTTCACTAGCCCTGCTGACCACACAATTTCTGATACAAACTTCATAACTTATCTCAGGCTCTGACTGCAAGCCAGGGGATTCTTTGTCTTTCTGAAAAGGTTAGAAAGGCCTGTACCTTTCTTTTTTTTTTTTTTTTTTTTTTTTTTTTTCTCATTCCCACAAAACCCCAAGATGTGTTTATTTTATGGGACTACCAGGGGACTGGGGGAACTTGAGATCTCACCATGCCTATTTGAAATTAGAGCTGGCAAAGACAGAGGGGGAAACCTCGCTGAGGTCATCTAGACCTTGTTTTCTCTTTGTGCCCATCCCAACGGGTACAGCAGTGAGAAGATATTTCATCTTGCTCTCAGTATTCTCGTATTAATCTGGCCATACAACTTCTGGTACCTCAGGTAGCTAATTTGCTGCTACCTTAGCTTAGATATTTCTGTCCAGTGCTGCAGCATGCTGCTTAGATCTACATTCTATGGGAAAATGATCCCATATCACATGGTAATATTTGCAGGCATTTCAGATGTAGAAAAAGATTTGAACTTCTAGAGGAGTGACTGTGCATAAATGGGAACATCCTAGAAAAGAGGATTTAATTAAATTGGCAAAATATGAGAAGGGATAGAGAAGAAAAAAAAAAAAAAAGAAAGAAAGAAAAATCTCAGATGACTCCAGCACTTAAGGACCTGATTGAGCTAAACCTTCAACATTAGTCATGTGATATGTAGAGAAGACTGTGAAGAAGATTTTTCAGAGATTATTCATATTTATATAATGATAAAACTGTGATAAGAAAGGCTGAAGGCAATCTCTGGGGCTCATCTGATCCATCCTTTTCACCCAAGATACTTGTGAGGAGTACTTTGTATTTTTTTGTATGGTCCTACTGACCTTAGTGAGCAATTCCAGGAGAGCCAGGACAATGAACAAATATTTAAATTGATATGATGTGTGCATGCTCTAGGTAAGCAGGGAGAGTAGGGTTGATTACTCCTCAGTGATCACAACTTTTGAAGCAGGATCCCAGAAACTATGACATCAGGTTATAATTAGCTTAACAATATTATTTGGATTTTTTTTTTTTTTAATTTTATTTTCACTCTGAATTTTACTATTTCACAGGAAGTATTTTCAAGACTTTCTCACAACAAATGAATCCTATGTATATTTTTAAAAAGACAATAAATATCATATGATAGTAGGAATAGAAACGATATAAAAAATACAAAGTATCATTTGTGTTTGCACAAGTTTATGAGAGTTAATAGGAGATCAAGCTTGGAAAATTCAGTATTCAGATGTACTAGAGAGGCACAGCAAAAGAAATACTGCTTGAGGCAGGACTAGGTGTGGGGAGATGAAAAATGACAGAAGGAAAAATAAGGCTGATGATTAGGATATATTTCCTGAAAATCACAACTACCAGATGACTTAGATTTTCCCAAGGGAAAGGGTGGGAAATCTCTTCCCTTTGGCTTTTAATATTGGATAAAGTCCTGAGGGACAATATCACAGAACCCATTATCATGAATGCCAGCTCAGGTTATCATTTTTTGCCTGGAAATAATTTACCCAAACATGCTGTGTGTTGAATTTTGCCCTTTAAGCAATGGCTTTCCCAGCTTGCATAAAAGCATTTAAGCAGTTCCAGCCACCTAATCCTCTAAAGACATTTTTCCAAATGTTCAGCTATTAAAATCCATCCAGTAAAATTCTTGCTGGAAGAAATAAAAGTTCTGGTCAAACAAATCATTTGCTGGGGCATAGTGTTTTGACACTCTCAGTAAACTGTTTTAGAGTATTACTTTAAAGCACTTTAATAACAGTAATGATAATGTTAATAGCTACTTTACTATGTTAATTTTCAATTATATTGACTCCCTGTGAGAAATGTAATTAAAAGTTCCCAGATTAGTGAAGATACCAAACCTGATACAAAGTCTCTCAGAGACTGCATTTTGCATTACACTTTTTATTAATATTATCTGTTTCCAAACCCCTGCGTTCCCTTCTCTGGGAAATGCCATGTTTTTAAAAAAGGTCAGCTGGAGAGAGTAAATGCTTTTTATTAAATACAAACCTTATGGATTTTCACTTCTGCTACATAATGGTTTGCCTGTCATTATGAAGTGGAATTAAATATTTTACAAGGAGAAGAATTTAATACTTTTCGGATGGTGAACAACAAACCTCTCCTGCACCCGATACTTGGACAGTGAGCACTCTTAAAAATCTTGGTCAATTTTAACTGAAGCTGCCTGCATTAGGTTTCTTTTCTGAGTTGCTTTTGCCATTATTATGTGAAATAGAATAGCTCATGGAAATCCCAGCAAGGTGATTATCATACTGTCTTTGGTGTTAGCCATATGCATAATTACAAATGTTCCCTGTTTTTAACACTTTACAAAAGGAGCCATCTCTTCTTCAAGATATATACAAATTAGGTGCCCTTCTTTATATAATATTTCAGGCTTCTTTCAGCAGTCCCAGAAGAAGTAGCCCTTTGGAGGACATTTCATTTCATCCACCACACTGACTCATTTCAGATCCCCATCCATCTGTACCTAGATCCATCTGAGATGCTCCAGTTGTCTCAGAGAATTTCATGGACTTGGATACACCTACAGGACACCTACAGCCTTCTGCAGTGGCAGCTGGAAGAAAGTGAAATGTTTGATAGCATCTAAAATTGTAATATTTTTTAAGCAGCTGAATCACAACCCTTATGTCAAGTTTAGGATGCAAATAATCTGTTTCTATTGCATATAGAGGAAGTAGACTAGACAGTTTGCTTGGAGAGAAAACTAAACTGTAGGCAGCATAAGCAAGAGAAGATACATTCTGCTTTCAGTGCAAAAGGTATTTAAAAGGTGGAAGAAACCAAATTTTAGCAAATTTAACAAAAGAAGAAGCAGAGCAAGAAAGTTAATCAAGGGCTATGCAAGAAGTCTGGCAAAGAAGGAAGTGTCATGTATTCTTTCTGAGTCCTGCACCAATGTTTTAGCCATAAAATTAGCCCCTTGCTATGATTTTTTTTTTTTTTTTACCCAAATGGTTCAGCTGGTCCAGTCATTTGGGCAACTCATTAGGAACCTTCGTATTTAAGTTTCTGTTTCTCTACGTATTTTTGGTGGATGGGGACATGGCAATTTAGCCCAGACTTACCAAGAATTTAGCCACCACAACACTGAGCTTTACAATACATGGCTTTTAAGTGTCTGTAATTTTTCATATCTACAGTTCTAAATTGACCAGGCTTTAGCATCATGCTCAGAGCTACTAGGAAACATCTTCCTATGCTTGGTAAACACAGCTATGGATCTTTGCTTCAGATATGGTGAGAGGAAAAGATGTCTAAAGCTAAGATGGTAACACATAAACAAAGGTAAGGGGAACATGAATGCCATTTCTTCTGTGTGGGGACATGATTCAATTCCAAGCTCCCAGTACCAGCAGAAATGTGTTAGGGAAGTCAGTGTTGGAAGAATTTGTTGTCCCTTCCTCTTGAGACCATTTCTTTTTCTTTGATTTATTGGGGGGTGGAGATTTTCTTTTCTTTATTTTATTTTATTTTTTTTCTTGTGCTAAAGAGAAGTCCATGAACGTCCATGTTGTTGGTTGTTTTAAGAATTACCATATTCCATTTGAGTAATTCATAAAAAAGGTGTAAAAAGCCCATGGGAAAAGTCCGGGAACTTAGACTTTGTTCTTTTGAGGATAACCTAAAAAGACTGCTGCTGAGTCATGCTTTTCTTCAAGCTGCTTCTCCATTCTGGCCCACCTTTAAGTGTCAGTTTGACCTGATGTACCAGGCTAAAAACAGAAGCATTGACCCAGCTTTTCACCCTCCACTACAGCCTGTATTTTGGTGGTCAGGACTCATTAGGTTATGTTAGTGAGCTAAGAAGACCAGAGTACTGGTCTTCTTAGTGCGATATCTAAATTTAAATACTTTGAAATGTAGTGCAATATCTAAATTTTTAGTGCAATATCTAAATTTGAATACTTTTCTCCAGACGAGGCTTTACAGAAGTAGGTTACTTATCAAGATGATTTTGTAGTAGTGCATCATAGCTGACAAACAAGCAACTTATGGTCTGCTCAGATACATCTTTGAATAACTTCTAGCTAATCTCTCATTCTACATCTCTATCTGTGCAGTTATTTATCCCTGTTTAAAAATCTTCAGTCTAATCTTATCCATCAGAAAGTTTCTAGTTTAAGCTGCTCAGCTATATTGGTTCAATGGATAATGGAAAAATAATCAGAATCTCCAGAATTAGGTGGGGTATATCATCCTATGATATAACCCACCTATATCATATATCATAGGTGGGATATATCATCCTATGAAAGTGTCCACCCCTTGTGCAAAGAGTCCTAGCTGACTGCTAAACCAGACACCTAATTTTCAAATGCCTAAATTTATATGCAATGAAAATTTTCTGAACAGTGTAGAGCTCCATTTGTCATTGAATTGCATCCAAGTTTCCCCCCTGGGTTTCTCCAGTTTTTCAAGATC